CGCCACATCGTGGTCCAGCCTTGCCTGGCTCTCGGCCAGCCGGATTTGTAGCAACGAGAGCGCAGGGGCGGGTGCCGGGGCCTCCTCTGTGGCCCAGGCCTCCCCCGCTGATTCCCGCTGCACCACAAGCGGAGGCAGGTCCCTGGGCGCGGCCGTCGGCTCCGGGTCTGGGTCTGAGTCGGTTTCTGCGGCCTCCCCAACCACCCGCAGCCCTGTAGGGCGGCCGCGCGTCGGGCCCCAAGGCCCCAGGTACAGCTCCTCCTCCGACGAAGACGCGGAGAGCTCCGAATCCGTCTCGGCCGCCTCCCCAGGCACCACAGTCTCAGGCCTCCGGGGCGGCCTCCGACGACGACCCTGGGACGCCATGGTGCCGAGCTAGGGCAGAAGAGGAGCAAAGGACTGCATGAGAGACATGCGCCTGCGATGGTTAAAAGGCACAAGACTTAGATTTCCTGCTCCTCCCCTGATTTTCTTAACGTTTGGGGGTCAACTGTTACCCGTCTGGACCTCAGTTTCCTCTTCTACGTAAACTGGGCGATAGGGGGGTGGGTACTAGACGCCAGGTTCTTCGGTGTACAGACTGAGAAACTGAGGACCAGCTCGATCAAGGGTCCGGGTCCCGAGTTTCCAGAGCCCCAAACTGAGTTATTTCCCAAATTGCCTCCTAGGAGATGCCACACCCCAGTCTACACGGCTCACCAGGCCTGTCTCAGACCCTTCTAGAAGCACGCGGGCTGGTGAGCTGCTAAGGGACCAATGCCAGAGTCACAGAAAGTCCAGCTGGACTCGGGGAGTGGCGGGGGCCGTCGCCGAAACCATACCGGGTCACTCAAACTCCGAGCCTGCGGGATCCACTTCTTAGCAGAGCCTTCCTTAACCCTGGGAGGTAGAGGGTTGCGGTCCCAGCCTATAGTGGAACGGGTTGGGCGGGCGTGGGTGACCCAGTCACGTGGGGTAGCTTGGCTACCAACCGGGAAGCAAGTACTCAAAACCAGATTTGAGGGCGTGCGCTCAGAAGAGTCACATGAACGGAGGTATCGCCAATAGAAAAGTGATTGAGCTGGTTTTTCCGGGTTGTGCCACCAGGAAAGTCTGTAGCGGACTACGGTTTAAAGAGCCGAGAGCTCATGTTTTACCCATGATTTGGCCAATGGGAATGCTCGAGGACCCAGAAACAGGGAAGGAACAGTGGTGAGGGCGGAAGATGCTGTCACGTGTAGCCAATGAAAGTGGAGTAGGCCTTCTCTCCCTCCCCCAACTCCCCAAAGCTCACGCGCACACCGCGTGAGCTCAGAGAGCTAAGGCGGGGCTAGTCTCCAACACCAAAGGAAGCAGAAGTAGGCGGGCTCCTGCACAGACACAGAGGAGGGGCTTGCCTAACCTGGCCAATGAGAATAGGAAGCGGTGTTTAGGTGCGTGAGGCCGGCGCATGGCGGATGCTGCGCTGTTCGAGTTCCTGCACGCGGAGATGGTGGCGGAACTGGGCACTCGCGACCCCGACCCCGACCCCGACCCCGGCCCGGGGGTGAGCGCCGGGACCTAGTGGGGGGAGGAGGCAGGGGCCGCAAGAGGAAGGCCTCAGGGAAAGCGGAGGGCAGGGGTTCCAACCCAGGTCGAGTCCACGCAGGTTCGAACCCCGGCCCCGCCCCTGCCTCACCGGGCGACTTTCTGGTTCTGGCTTCCTCCTCTGTGAAGTGGGCGTCGCTACAGTTCTGGGCTCGCGGGTGTACGACCCAATTGCTTCATCTTTGTGTGCCTCAGTTTCCTCTTTTGTAAAATGGGCATCATAACAGTTACATGAGTCTCAGGGTGGAACATTTATTCATTCGACACTCACTATCTGTTGTATTCCAGGCACTGTTCTAAAACAGATAAAGCCCGTGTCTTCGTAAAGCTTACATTTTGGTAGGAGAGTCAGACAGATAAGTTGAAATGTGCTATCAGCTAATGAGACATTCTATAAGGAAAACTTGTAGAGTCAGGGAAAGAAGAAGGTTAAGGTAGTGGATGATGGGGAAAAACCATTCTGCCGAAGAGGAGGAGCAACAAGTGCCATAGATGAGTAGGGTGAAGGGCACACCAGAAGAGGGAACAGTAGTGCAAATCCCTAAGCTGGGAGCATGTTTGGTATTTTGGAACTTGGTCCTTATGAAGAAATTAAATGAGTTAAAACTTTAAAGCACTGGGCGGTGCCTGTGGCTCAGTGAGTACCCCACATACCGAGGGTGGCGGGTTCGAACCCAGCCCTGGCCAAACTGCATCAAAAAAATAGCCAGCCATTGTGGCAGGCACCTGTAGTCCCAGCTACTTGGGAGGCTGAGGCAAGAGAATCGCATAAGCTCAAGAGCTGGAAAAAAAAAAAAAGAGCTGGAGGTTGCTGTGAGCTGTGACACCACTCTACCAAGGGTGACAAAGTGAAACTCTGTCTCTTAAAAAAAAAACTTTTACTAAGAAGGAGAATGGGAGGGCGGTGCCTGTAGCTCAAAAGGGTAGGGCGCCGGCCCTATATGCCAGAGGTGGTGGGTTCAAAACCCAGTCCTGGCCAAAAACTGCAAAAAAAAAAAAAAAGAAGAAGAAGAAGAAGGAGTGTAGGGAAGTACAGGGAGTAGGTGCTTAATAAATGGGTACTGTGGTCATGTTTTTTACCGTCATTTTTACTATGACTATTGTCATCTATATGAAAGATATTTTGGTTGGCTTAGGTTTCCTTTCCAAACAAGGAGCCCTCGGGTGGGTGTTCTTGTTATCATCTCGATGTACAGATGCTTCTAGACTGAAAATGGGGTGATGTAAGTTATAATAGCATTTAATACTATTAAGTCAAAAATGTGCTTAATACACTAATGCACCTAACCTATTGAACATCATAGCCTCGCCTGCCTTAAACCTGCTTGGAACACTTATATTAACCTACATTTGAGCAAAATCATCTAAGGTGCCTATTTTAGAATAAAGTGTTAAATATCCCATGTAATTTATTGACTACTAGTCCTAAAAAGTGAAAAACAGGATGGCTATATGGGTACTCAAAATACAGTTTCTAGTAAGTTAAACCACTGTGAGTTAGGAACTGTTATTTCTTCTGTATTTGTTCATTCATTCAACAAACTTTACTAAGACTACAAAGGGCCAGGTCCTCCTATAGGGTCTGGGGATTACTCGGTGAACCATACAAAAATCCTTGCCCTTTTGGACTTTTGTTACAGTGAAGGGAGACAGACAAGTAAGATAATTGAGTTGTTTCTGGTACATTGTATAGCTGCTAGGAGGAAGATAAAGCATGGTAGAGGCAGGTGCATTGGCCTTGACTCAGGAAGGAGTAGCGGTGTCTCAGCACCCTGTGATTCCTGGCTGTCAAACCAGAAACCCAGGAGTTTTCTCCCTCACCTCCAGCCCTCCAAAAACCCTGCCCATTCCACTGTCAACATGTATATCATCTGTCCCTTCCCCTTCCCCTACCCTTGTCCAAGCACCCTCCTCTTTGTCCCTGTGAAATGAATCTGTTCTCTCTTCTCTTGATTCAGCTCATTTCACTCATCAAGTCTTCGTCGCGTTGGCACTGTTTGGTGCTTCAGATGTTGGGTCAAATGTCCCTTCCTCAGGAAAGCCTTCCCGACCCCTAGTCGAGTGAGTTTGGATCCCCCTTAGACATTGTTATAGCCCCCTTCCCCACTTTTTCCTTGGTGGCCTTCATCACAATAAGGATGTATCAGTATGATCTTTTGATTCATATCCATCTTCCCTGCCAGATTATATGCTGCGTATGGGCTGCTCTCAGGTATGTGTTAATCACTACCTGTATACTCCAGCACCTAGTGGATCCTCAACATGGATCTGTTGAGGAAGTGAATGCAGATCCTTTACTGTGGAGGTTGGGTGAGGGTGGGACTGGGATTCCTCAAGTATTATAACCTGTAATAGTTGCCATCACATATGAGCGTTTCCTGTTTATTCTTATGGCTTCACACTGTTCATTTCATTTGATCCTCCTAAGAACTCAGAGAGGTTGGCAGATCCTCCCTGCTTTGTAGGTGAGGCGTTGGTGGAGAGTTCCTTGCCCTCAAGGGGCAGGGTGGGGAATGTAACCAGGCCTCTTGCCTCCAAAGCCTATGCCCACCGCTGTAGACTCTTGCTTGCATTTCCCAGTGTGTTTTCCCTGGCACTCTCCAGAAGGATTTTAATGGGTTTCTGTGGTCAAGCGAGTGTGAGAAACTCTGGCTTACTCAGCCTTGCTCATCACAGGGATTTCAGAGCATATGGATATGCCTGGGACTTTTGGGCAGGGGTGCCCTATCCAGTTGCCACTGGGGCTTCTCATGCTGAGGTCCCACACCAGAGATTCTGATGGAACTCTACTGGGATATGACTTGGGCCTTTCTCTTATGTTCCTGGCCCCCTTCACCTCTCTCTGTTCCTTCTCTTTGGTGCAGCAAGCATCCTTCTGAACCAAATGCAGGCCTCCTGCTTCTTGGGTATTTACTGGGTCCTCAGAACAATATCTTGTCTGATTTGCTCTTCAGGATAGCCCTCTGAAGTAGACGTCATTGTCCTGTTTTATAGAGGAGGACTGCAACTTGAGAGAAGAAGGGTCTTTCCTGTGGCCGTATAGTGACAATCATAGGGAAAATTAGAACTCAGGCATCTGACTCCAGAGCCTGTGGGTAGCAGCAGGTCTGCCCATCTCCCACCAACGCTAGAGCTCCTGGAGGACAAGGATGGTGGCTCCTACCTCTCTGTCCCTATACCACAAGTGCCCAGGAGCTGTGGCTTCAGAGTGTTGGGCTTTTGCAATCACTATCCCCTGCTTGGTATGGTGGTTACCAGCTCAGATGGGTCCCTCTGGACAGTCACAGGTTGTTCAGTGGAAGGCTGGCCAGAGAGGCCAGGAGGGCAAAGGAACTTTGTTTTCAAAGCAGGAAAAGCCTTTGGAGGAAGAGGTGCCGTGTCCCTCAGGAGCTTTGAAGATAAGGGGAGCCTTTGAGTGAATTCCCCTGGTACTATCAGCCATGCGGGGAGACCCTGGCAGGGGGATCAGGAATAGCTCTGCCAGGCCAAGCCTTGATCCCTCACAACTCAGAGAGTAGGCATAGGCAGCCCCTTTGAGGGGGGCAATGGGTGGATGGAGCAGCTGTGTCTTGCAAAGGAGACCTGGGGCTGAGGTATAGTGCTGTGCACCCAAAGCAGGGAAGCTGGGGCTGGCTGGAAACTGTGGCTCTGTATGGGAGCAGTGAGAGCCGTAGAAGAGTTTATAAACTGAGGTGTGTGCCCTGGTGTGGTAGCTCACACTTGTAATCCCAGTGGGAGGCTGAGGAAGGAAGAATGCTTGAGGCCAGGAGTCTGAGACTAGCCTGAGCAACATGGGGAGACCCTGTCTCTACAAAAAAATTTAAAAATTGCCTCGTGTGTCTGTAGTTTGAGCAACTCATCAGGGTGAGGCAGGAGAATTCCTTGAGATCAGGAGTTTTAGGCTATAATGAGCTATGATTAGGCCACTGTACTATAGTCTAAGTGACAAAGCAAGATCCCATCTATTTATTTTTATTTTTTGAGACAGAGTCTCACTATGTCACCTTCGGTAGAGGGCTGTGGGGTCACAGCTCACAGCAGCCTCAAATTCTTGGGCTTGATTCTCTTGCCTCAGCCTCCCAAGTAGGTGGGAGTACGGGCACCCACCACAATGCCTGACTAGTTTTTAGAGATGAGAGTCTTGCTCTTGGTCAGGTTGGTCTCAGACTGAACTCAGTCAGTCCACCCACCTCAGCCTCCCAAAGTGCTAGATTACAGACATGAGCCACCATGCCTGGCCTCTCTGTGCTTTTCTTAAGAACCATAATTGCTCTCCCTGAGTCGTCCCCCACCCCAGGAGATTAAACAGAGTGAGCTTCTGCCTCAGGGCCTCAGAAACAATCTAGGGGACAGGTATAAAAGACAGGAGGAACCCAGCTCATGGCCCCCACCGAGTCCCTCCTGCTTCAGCCCAGAGTGTTCTCTATCGTCTCAAACTTCTCAGGATGGGGGGGGGGGCTTCGGTGGGCTGTGCATTCTCCTTGGAGCTCTGTGGCCTTTTCTCTCCGAACCTGCAAATGTTCCTTTAGCTCAGGACGTTTTTCTCTTATTCTTCTTCATTGTTCCTTAGGTGTCCTTTGGGCATTTAGATGTCTGTGTAACTTTCTAGATCATTTCTGTTCATCTTACAACTTTTCTTTCCTTTTTTTTTTTTTTTGACTTCATGTTTTTCTTTTTTTCTCACCAATCTGGGAGATGTTACCTGTCTTACAGATTTGTCTATTATTCAGCTCCCTTGTTAAAAAAGTATTTATTTTGGCCACCATATCGTTCATTTCCAGGAACTTTCCTTTGTGTCTGATTATTCCTTCCTGTTCGGAGGATGCCGTTAGTACTGACACTATAAGGCTTCTCTAGGGTTCCCCTCTCTTCCTTGCACTTCCTTGTTTCCTCTTCCCCAGTTGTTGTGTAAACTCAGCAGAGGCCGCAGCAATAGGGTGAGCCCCAGAAATTCACTGACTCTGGGCCAGGCTGTGGCAGATTCATATGAATGGGCATGTTCCTGCCTGGCCATCCTTCTGTTTTTAAGAAAGATAAACCCCTAATCTCTGAAAAGCTTTTGCAAGGACATCTGTCTGTTGGGGAGACAGGCTGTGATGGAGGCAGGTGGGAGCTTCTCCCTTCCTCCTCCACCCTTTCTGCCCTGTCTCTTGCTCATCCCCTGCCCTGCCCACCCCGCTTCCTCTTTCCCTCCCTTCTGCCATTATTCCCCACAGCCCTGCCACTCCCAGACTTTTCAGTTCCGCAGATATCTAGTTGGCCCCTCTGGAAGGCTGGCTACAATGGAGCCAACAAGTCTCCACAGTTGTGTATCGAGCTGCTGCCACATGCCAGTCACACCACCACTGTGTACAGGGACTGCCATTAGCTCCATCACACTCATGTGGAAACAGAGGCACAGGGCAGTTAGGGAACTGCTCAAGGTCAAGCATCCATTAAGTGGTAGAGCTGAGATTCAAACCCAGGCAGTCTGAAGTTCATGGAAGGAAAACTTAATCTTGCTGGAAAGCCTTCCCCGACTTTCCTCCACGTGGACTCATGGTCTGAGCCTTTGAGGTCACTGTCCCTGGCTGCCACCTAGTCTTGGGGTGCCTTCCCGGGCCCCTGCCTCCTGCTGTATAGCTCCTCCTCTTCCTCCAGACTTGGTGCAGATGGGCTTCCTGGGGAGCATGCTCCAGCCCTCCTGGCGCCACTTTTCTCCCTCTTGGCTGTCACTGTAGTGAAGCTACCCTTTGGATCTTTAGTCCTTGCCACCTCTAACAGGGAGGGGACTGTGTCTGTGGTTCACGGTGGCTGGCATTGAGGTAGCATGTGTTATGTTGGCCCTTGGGTTGGCCGCTCTTGCCCACAGGGAAGAATGCTGGTCTCCAGGGTCACTCCCCACCCCTCTGCCGCCTCTCTCTAGCCCACCCTTGTGGCTTAAACTTCACTGAGTGGGCTGCATTTCTGGGAGTTGGGTTTGCCCTAGTGGGTGCTACCTGGTTCCCCTTGCATTCAGTGTCACAGTCCTCCTATCAGGTTGTCACTTGGTATCTTCTGGGCACCTGTCACCCCCATCATGTACAGGAGATGAACTCTGGAGGACATCCAGGAAATGTTTGTGGAATGAACAAGGGACAGCAGAGTACCTTCATGAGCAGGGACACAGGTGTACTACAGCCGAGCACAGCCTGGGCCCTGCCTCTGGGAGGTGTCCTCGAGAAGGGAGGTGACAGGGGAGTGGTAGCCCCAGCTAACAAGGGCTTGCCCACTCCGGGCTGTGCCAGGTGCTGGGGTATGTGTCCCCAGAGCAGAGCTGCTTACACATGGGGTTTTCCTTGCAGCCAAGGGTGTCATCCTTCATCTCCCGGGCTGTCTCCTCATTTGGCAGACACAGGGAGTGTGAAGGATGATAGCAAAGACAGTGGCAAGGCTTCCTCAGGCTGGCCCAAAGTGCTTGGCTTACATTGTCCAGCCCCCACCCTCATTCATGAGGCCTCCAGGGGTTCACTGCTGTGAACATTTTCCTTTTTTTATGCACGAGGAGACTGAGGCACAGACAGTTACCCCCCACCCCAGTGCTATCCCTGGTAAGTGTGGGTGCAGATCTGGACCCAGGTAGTGGCTCCAGAGCCCTTCACTCAAAGCCATGGACAGTGCTGCTGTGAGGAACCCATGAGTAGAGACCTCCCACCCTTGCCATTGTGAGGATGGAGGCTAATCCACCCCCCTACGCACACACACATTCTCCACACTCATCTCCTAAACATCCTTAGTCATCAGACCCTCCCCTGAGCCCTTCCTGTATGGCCAGCCCTGCTGTGCTGAGGAAGGCAGATAGTGATACCAGATACACAGTGGGCCAGTGCAGTCTGACAGGAAGCCGTGTAGTTACCCAGGCGGGTGAGACCTGATGAGAGGGCCAGGCAGAGGAGAGGGGCACCCTGGTTTGAAATGTGGGCAGCCTCTCTTAGACCTCCATTCCCAGCACCCACTGCCAGGTGGGCCTCAGCCCTTGTCACCTCCATGATGCCCACAGCAGTGGTGGGTATCATCCTGCCGCCTCCATCTCAGGTGTGAACACCCCTGGGTCCTTAACCCTGAGCCTGTTTCCAGGTGTGAAATGCAGTTGAGTTTAAACCAGAGGGTTTACAGAAAGCACCTGGCACATAGTATACAGCAAGTCCTCAAATGTTCATGAGAAAAATCAGTTCCCAGGGTTGCTATCTATGCAGTATGCACAGATTCACTCCCATGCTCCAGTGTCCTCCCACATCCCAAAGGTGTACCCTTCGGTGAGTCGGCATGGCTGCGGGGCCCCATGTGAGTGAGTGGGCGTGAGTGTGCCTCATGATGGGATGGTGTCCTGCCCAGGGTCAGCTTCCCACCTGGCCCCCCTGAGCTGCAGGGACAGGCTCTGTCCACCCACAACCCTGAACTGGAATAAGTAGGTGAATAATTATCTTACTTTCATTTATTTTTCTTAACTGTATAGTGCACATGTATTTCAGTGTTTAATATCAGTACTGTTTGGTCTTTATTAAGAAGTTTGGTAAAGTGTTTGTGACCAGAAATATGCCATAGGAACTTCACTGTGGTTTATATCAATTAATCTGTGGCCAAATTGGTTTCATTTCCTGGCCTTTCACTTAAAGTTGCCATGATGACCCTAAGTGAGGACCTGTGTGGTCAATCTTTGAATCTTCACTTTGGTCAGCATCTCTTCACCAAGCACCTCCCGTGTGCCAAGCCCTGTGTTGGCTGCTGAGGGCCAAGGTGAATTGGCCGGCCTGGGTTCCCACCCTCAAAGGGCTGTGTCCTCAACCAGTGACAGCACTGAGTAGCCAGGGCTGGGGTGGAGGACCCCCTCCCTCAGAGGGAGACAAGGAAGCCTTCTAGGAGTCAGCAGAGGGAGCAGTGAGTAGAAAGGCCCAGAAGCCTGAACCTTCCTGGCCACGGGCAGCAAGTGTTGCCGGGGCAGAGGACAGGGTGGTAGAGGGTGGCAGGAGCTAGGGAGTCTGCGTGAAGCCCACTGTAGGGGTGGGACACCCTCTCTGGGGCAGGAGTGGAATGGAGAATTCTCGTCTGCCATGCAGATGGCTCCCATTGCTTATGTGGCCTCGGAGGAAAGAAGACTGCAGTGGCCATTACTGAGGCAGGTGGTGGTCTAGGGACAGAGAGAAAGGAGTAGGAGGGGCTTAGGCCTGGTGACTACAGCTCCTGAGGGAGCCAATGGGAAGGTGAGCTCCCCCACCCCGAGGTTCCCTGCTTCTGGTCTGCTGGGCTTTCTCCCAGGAGTATAACACCACACGTATCCTGGGTATCCCCAATGTGGGCCTCCCCTTCCCCAGCTTATTCTTGGTCACTCAAGTAAAAGAATTCACAAACTTCCTCTCCTCCAGCCAAGCTGCCCATACACAGGCATATGGACAGATGCCAAGTGCAGCCCTCCTGCTGTCCTGCTGTGGTGCCTGGCAATGCCAGCATAGTCCCTCCCACTGTGGACCCTTCCCTGCCCTCCCCAAGTCCCTATGTGTCCCTCCCAGGGATCTTTGCCAGCATCATAAGGCCTAATGCTCATAGTTGACTTCCAAACCTCACTCCCTGAGGCACAGCTAGCTCACTCACCATAGACCCTTGGGCAGGTCACCTGGAGGCTCTCAGGCAGTCACAGTGCCCACCGCTAGGGCAATGGAAGGAATCACACTGAAGGTACTTACAGTTCCCGATGGGAGAGTTGACAAGCAAGGGGACAGCAACCTGGGATGGGCCCATCGCTGCTGGGGCAAAGGGAAGCCAGTCCTGGGGCCGATGATGGGTACTGGACAGCCTGTTCAACCTGCAGAGGTGGCTAGGAGTTCTCTGCAGGCCCAGCCCTGTGCAGGAGCCCCTCACCCCCTGCCCCGCCTTCATGCCCAGGGCTTCTCACTCCTGAACTGACAGACACTGCCAAGCAGGTCTTGGGACTCTCTTGTAGAGGCTCCTAGCTGAGCCTATCTCCCCTGGCCTCCTAGGGACAGAAGAGGAGCCTCTCCATCCTGGAGGGCATAGGCTTCCGCGTGGGCCAGGCTCTGGGCGAGAGGTGAGACCTGCTCCTCCGGCTTTCCCCGACCTGGGGTGGCGGGGGCAGGGGTGCAGGAACCAGCCCTCTTCCTCACTCCAAGGCCCACCACACACACCACATCCCCAGCCCAGTTTGGTGGCATCAACCTGGCCCAAGTGTCTGCCCCTGCCCTGCCAGGCTGCCCCAGGAGACGCTGGCCCTCAGGGAGGAACTGGATGTCCTCAAGTTCCTGTGCAAAGACCTGTGGGTTTCCGTGTTCCAAAAGCAGATAGACGGCCTCTGCACCAACCACCAGGTGGGTGCGCCTAGTACCCCTCCCTGCTCGCTTGCCACCCCACAGAAGTTGTAACCAGGGAGGGCCAAGGAGGGGAAACTCCTGCAGGAAGGTTGCTGCCCACCTGTTAGGGACCCGCCCAAAGTGGGGAGACAGGAACCCAGGTTCCTTTTGGCAGCTATAGCCCTTCTCAAGTTCTCTGTCCAGTCCTCTGAGGGAAGCCAGGAGGCTGCAGAGGGGCTACTTCTGCCAACACCGAATCCTTGTGTGGGCAGAAGGCTGCTGGTGGCAGCAATTGCCTCTAGTGACACGACTTGTCTCCAGCTGACCAGAGCTCCTGCAGAGCCACTCCAGGGGCTGAGTCTCCAGTTTCTCACCATGACCCTGGTGGCAGAGACTGTTCACCAGGAAGTCTTGTGGCCAGAGGGCAGGACCAGCACTCCCCCTCATGTGTGCCAACCTCAAGTAGGGATGCCTCAGGGCCTTCTCCAGTGGTGGTTTTGAGGCAGGAGAGTCCTTCCAGATCTCAGCACAATGGAGCTGGTGCTGGGTTCTGTCTTCCCTTCCCCTTACTGCCAATGTATAAGCCCAGCCCCCACCAGCCTCTCCTTTGCCCCCAGGGGACCTATGTCCTACAGGACAACAACTTCCCTCTCTTCATCCGGATGGCCTTGGGCCCACAGTATCTGGAGGAGGCACCCAAGGTATGGGACAGGGGCACCTCACCCACACTCCCTTCCCCTGGATACCAGCTCCCCCAGTGAAGCCTTCCCCCAGGCCCAGGCCCTGGGTGCTGGCCTCCTCTCTTTCCCCACAATGGTCTGTGTCCCCTGCCCCAGTTCCTGGCCTTCACCTGCGGCCTCCTGCAAGGCACCCTCCATATCCTAGGCTTCGAGAGCTTGGTCACCTCCTCCATGGCAACCCTGCCTGCCTGTGAGTCACGGGGAAGGGCAGATTCTTCTCATCCTTTGAGTGTGCTGGGGGCTCCAGAGCTCTCCCTCCCTGCTCCTGCGTGGGTGCCAGGAAGGCAGGCCCAGGCTACTATGCCCCATTTTACAGAGGACTTGAGGGCCAGACAGCAGTGCAGACCCATTTGTACTATAGCCCTGGCTGCTTTCTTGGGGGTGCCATCCCTAAGGAGAAAATTCTAGAGATTTCTAGCATGTCTGGCCAGCATGAGAGCCCAGGGGGACATGTAGAGGTCATCCTAGCTGATGCTTTTGTGGGGGCTGGAGACAGCTAGGCCACATGGTGCTTCAGCCTGACTGATGGGGTATCCTGCCAGACAAGTTGGAACCCCATTCCAGCTGGGGGCAGCCACCTCCCCCAAAAGCCTGCAGCCAAACCACCTCCCCCGCCCCCACTCTGGGTTCCCCAGGCTCCCCAGGCTTGCTCATGGGGGCACCTGGGGCCCCAGCAGGCAGGCCCCTCCCCATGCCTCCACAAATGGTTTCTGTGCCTCTAGTTATTACACAGCCCTGAGACGCAAGCCAGGTGGGCGGGAACACCAACCCCTTTAACCATAAGGAAACTGAGGCCCAGCCCAGGCTACCCAGGTTGTCAGTGGAGGGTGGCCTGAATATCTCCAAGTTCTCTGGGTGCCTTCTACCTCTCCCCCAGGCCACAGCCTCAAGCTAAAGCCGGTCCATCTCTTCCAGGTAAGTTCCAGGTGGTGATCCAGAAATCCTAAGGAGCCCCAGGCCACTGCCAGTGGAGCCTCATAGCTGCCCTGTCCCTCACCCCCCAGGGCACAGCATACATCTTGGCCCAACGCCCCCCAGCCGCTGCCTTTGGGGCTGGTGCTGGGGCTTCCAGGCTCTGGAGTCACACATGCTCAGGAAGGGGGTGTCAACGGGAGGTGGGAGCATCCCAGGAGGCAATAAAGGTTCTGTTTGTGGAATAAGATGCAAAGGGGTCATCTAAGGAGCGATGTCATAGTACCCCTGCAGCTCTCCCTCATGGGCCTCTTCCACTCCCAGCTCTAGCGTAAGCCCTTGAGTTTGCCACCTCCCTCCCTGTATACCTGGCAGGGGGAGGGTGGCCCCCATAGCAGCCTCACTGTCTCTGCTGTGTCAACAAGTCTGAGGCCACCCCCTGCCCAGCAGGGTACACAGAACCCAGCCTCTCCCTGGGGAGCAGGGCTGGGCATGCAGAGGACAGGCAGGGGCCAGCTGGGGCTGCCAGGGCTGAACACAGACAGGGGGACAGACATACTCTTTTCTCCCCTCCACCCCACAACATGCGGCAGATACACTTCATGTACCTGGCAAACGTGAATCCATCCTGCCCGGCACTATGGCCTAGCTGCCTGTCCTTGGGCAGTGCCGGCTTTTCCGCCTTCACCCTGCTACCTCCCCCTTCTGCCTCATCTCTGCTACCTCCTCCCTGCAATTGTAGCATCTGGGGTGTCACACACCTGGACTTGTGCCTGGGCTCTGCCACCGCTGCCCCATGAAGGTAAGTATCCTGGCCTCAGAGCTGTAAACCAAGGCTGGGGGTAAGACCCAAATGCAATGAAGGGTCCCCTTGCTTACAAAACTCCCAGCAGAGGGGGTGTCTCCACCTATGTAGAGCTGGTCCACAGGCTCTTCGCAGCCCATCACCTGTGCTTTTGTGCCCCTGCTGTGTCTTGCAGCCACCTGGCCTCTGCTGACTGACCTCCTTGCCCCTCAGTCAGCCTTGAACAGGCTCATCCTAGTGAAGGTGTTGAGTTGTTACTTTGGGACACACTTCTCAGGTCCATCTGGACCCCTTTTCCAGGTGCTGGCACTGCCCAGCACAAAGCCTGGCACTCAGGAGCCCTGAGCAGGTTTCCTGAGTGGATGGAAGTTACTCAGCTACACGGCCTGCTCTGCAGGGGAACTGGGATTGGTATGGAGGTTCACTGCAGACTTGCTCCATGCTTAGGCGCGCCACCCTACCTCCCTGAGGGACCAGGTGCTTGGGAAGATTTGAACGATGGTGGGAGGAGAGACAGAACCTGTCCCAGGAGGAAGAAAGCTGGCCCTCAGCCACTGGGGGCAGTGCTTGGTCACTGGGCAGAAGCCCTGGAGGGGCACGTGCAGGCTGGGTGAGTCCCTTTGATTTGTCCCATGTCGCCTCATCCTAGGCACTGTTTCATGGTCACCTCCCCCATGCCTAGTTCTCAGGGGTGTGCCTGTTTACCCCACATGCCAGCGTAGGGAGGCAGGCCCTGGGAGGGGAGGGCCTCCGTGGCACATCATACCCCTCTCTCTGAGCCCCACCAGCCCTCACCTCTTAAGGGGCATTGCAAGGGGACTTGCACCTAGTGCCTGCCCTGTAGGCAGGGGCAGAGCCTGGGGCACCAGCCGCCGCCAGCTTTCAAATTCCCAATCTGCCCATGTGCCCTGGGGTGAGGGACTTCATGTCTCTGGGCCTCCTTTTCCTCATCTATTGAGTGGGCATCATGCCTGCCCCACTGGGCCATGGCAGAGAAGAAAGGGAGCATGTGTGCCATCATCATCTTTCTATGAGAGGTGGCTAGAGCAGCACAGGTAAGTGGGTCAGCTGCTGCCTTGCTGAGTGCCAGGCCTGAGCTAGTTGGACTTCCACCCGGTTCCTCCTGACCATGAGAGGCACACGCCAACGCTGGCCACTCAGCAATGAGGAAGCTGAGACTCAGAGAAGTGAAGTCACTTGCCCAAGGTAACACACCTGGGGGAGCTGGCATCTGAGCTCTGGACTACGTCCCTCCTGGTCTCAGCGTCCTTCCTCACCCGGAGCAGAAGTGCTGAAGGGCTGAGGGCCAGCCTGACAGACCCCATTCAGGGCTGTGTGTGAGGATCTGCAGGCAACACCGTGGGCCCCATCTCCATCTTTCAGTCCTCGAGAGCAGACAGCGCCAGGCCGGGGTGTGCTGGGGAAGGGGCGGGGACAGGCGGGCAAACCAGTCTGGCAGGCAGCTCAGCCCAGGCCTCCCTCGTCTGGGCCTGCACTGACGTTCTGATCCGGCGGGGCTGGCACGGGAGCTCAGCGGCAGGGCAGGGAGCTGGGGCCGCAAGGCCACCATCAGGTACCAGGGACCTGGGACTGGGGAGGAGGGGTGGCGGGTGGGCCACCCCAATTCCTTCTACCCCTTGGACTTCCCCATCCCTCTCCCTCTACAGCATCCTTCCCCTATCCTGCTTTTAGTTCTTCATGGATCAAATCCTATACATCTCATCTCCTCCGAGTTTGCTGAGCCTCTGCCCAAATTAGACCACTGCGATTTCATTGCTCCCCCAGAACTCCCTTCCCTACATCCCTCATTGCACCTCCAATATACCCAGCTCTGAAATTTCAGTCACCCCATATTCTTGGCTGCTCCCCAATTCACCTCGCTGGTTTTGTATCCCTTCAAGCCTCATCAGCCTCTCACCCCCAGAGTGCCCCTGTTTTAGTGCCCCCTTGTGTCACTCAGCTGCTACTCCAGCTCCCCCATTTCCCAACTTCCCATCTCTCACATTTGCTCGACACTCCACAATGTCCCAGCTCCTCAGAAACCCAGAGGCTCCCAAATACTAGACCATCCAACCGTAAATTAGCCACCCCTCCTCTATCTTGACACCCCCTCCCCCACTGTACCCTAACAGGCACCTCCCCCAGGAAGGTGACCCAAGAACCCAACCAATATCTGGGATCAAACCTCTCGCCTATCCAAGCTGTTCTGGGGCAGGGGAAAGACCCTCGCCTCAGTTCTGCTGTGTCTGCCCAAGGGGGCAGGCGACTGAGCCTGGCCTCCCCCTCCTGCCCCAGGAGGAGCAGGTCCCTCGCACCCTGCTGCCCTGCTGCTATGTACAAACACTACAACGTCCACTTCGCCAAGGGTGCCCAGACTCCCACTGAGTGCAACTTCTTGGACCCAGAGTTGGGGCACCAAAAAGGTAAGGGTTCAATTTGGGGGTGAGTCATGGCAAGCTGAGAGACCTGGGAGGTAGCCTTGTGGATGGAAGCCCAAAAGGAGAATCACTGTTACCAGGAGAGAAAAGCCACTAGCACACCCTACAGAGACATGTCCACAGTAGGGCTGGGGGGGCATAACCCGGGTGCGACCAAATGGAAGAGCCAGGGCTGGAGATGGAAGCAGGGATGTCCACTTGGTCTGGCCCTTACCCCAGTGTGGGAAGAGATTCCCCACCCACCCCTAGTCTGGGAGGCCACAGTGCTATTGGAGTGGGAGTAGAGAGGGAGCCCCCACATTGTCTGAATGAGATGTGGGTTGAATTTCTGGTGGTGACAACAGGTGCTCCTGCTCAGGGTGGGGAGGGGGCAATTACCTCCCATTAGGGCTGATTCAGCCTCCTCAGGGCCGGGCGGGTGCCCGAGCCTCCCTGGTCAGCACCCTTCCACTCAGCTTGACCTGAGCCCAGGGACAAGGACCCCCTTCCCAATCCCTGGCCTATCCTCTCTCCATGGCTACCACCCATCACTCTGGCCTCCTCTGATCAACCAGGCCAGCTTCCACTGGATTCCTCCCAGCCACCTACCCTGCACTGGGGGCCCCCACCAGAGACCAGCTGACCTCAGGCAGCATACTCTCTCCAGCCCCCTTTCCCGGCCGAAATCCTGCACCCTTTCCTCTTTCCTCCTGTGCACAGATCCTGCCTCTCTTCACCTTTCTCCTCACCGTCTTTATGACTTCTTTGGGGCCTCTGAGGTTCCCAAGAATGCTTTGGCCCCAGGCTCCACTTATAAACATCCTGGTGCCACCCAGGGGTCAGGGACCCAAGTCCAGTTTACCTCCCACTTCCTTCCTTCTAGGATACTGTCATCAGTGGCGCCATGATGCAGTGGCCCCTCGAATCCATGGGCCTTGTCGGTCATCCCCCAAGTCATGCTGGCAGCGGGCCTACCACTGCCAACAGGGGGCAAGTGGAAGCTGGCATCGGGGTCCCCAGCCCCCTGTCCAGCAGCAGCGGCAGCCTCAGCTCCTACTTCCCAATCCCCTGCGGCAGCGGTTCTGCCCTACTCAAGGTGCCCAGAAGGGGCTACCTGTCCCCCAGGGACCAGCCAGCGCCCCCCAGCCGCTCCCCATGCCCACCACCTCACCCACTGTGGCACCCATCATGGCCAGCAGAGGCCCCGCCCTGCCCTCAGCAGCCGGCACCCTCCTGGAGCCCAGCGAGCCCACGGATGCCCGGCCCCTGCCTGCTCCTGCAGCCTGCGGCTCCTTCACCTCCTACGGCTCCGGTGCTCACCCAGCCCTCTTCAGTGGGCTCCATGCCTGGCTCCTGCTGCCTTGCTTCCCGCCTGGGCCTCCTGCTCCCTGGCTAGTGCCTCGGGCCTGACCCTCATCCCACACTCTGGTTCCTGCCCAGGAGGGCACTCACCCTGATGCTGGGTCCCAGGCCGGTTGCCTCTGCTTTACCTGCTGGCTTCCAGGCCAGACCTATCCACAATGTCTCTGTCCTGGGCTGGGCTGCAAGGGCCTGCCTCTCCCACTCCCTCTGCTAGCACCCTGGGTCTGCTTTCTCTTTCCAGCCCTCCTTCCCCAGGCCCAGCGGGCCACAAGGGAGGTGGGCAGGCGGCGGCGGTGTACACCAGCTTGCTGGCCAGCTCTGGTTGTGGGGGAGACAGATCAAGTGTGAAGCTACAGCAAAAGACAGCAGCTAGGAAGCAGAGGATAGTCAGTGTGGGGAATGACCCCCCACTCATTCATTCATTCCATGACTAGGTCCTGAACGCCCATGTGTGTGCCAGGCACTGTTCATGGGGCACAGCAGGGGACAGGGCCAGCTCAGAGCTCTGTCTCCATGGAGCTCACATTCTGCTGGCGGCGGGGGCAGGTGGGAGGAAACAAGTTAAATAAGCCTAGAAGTGTGCCACCCAATGACAACCACATTGGGGGACTATAAGGCAGGGAAAGGCAATGGGATGTGTCAGGGTATGCAGATTAAACAGGGTCATCAGGCCTGGTCTTGTGATGGCAACATTTGAGCAAAAACAGCATAGTAGGGTCATCAAATGCAAAGTCTAAGGTGACATGTTCCAGGGACAGGAAGGAAGCCATCACTTTGGCTTTTCCTGAGTGAGGTGGGAGCCATAGGTAGTTCTGAGTGGAGGAGGAACATGAGCTGACTCAGGGTGTACCAGGAGAACAGGGTGCAGAGGGAGGGTAGAAGCAGGTGGCTTAGTGAGCAGGCAGGATTCCAGGCGAAAGGTGCTGGCAGCTTGACCAGGGTCATGTGCAACAGAGGTGGGACACACAGCTGGTTTCTAGGTCTGGTTTGAAAGTGAAACAATAGGGACAGGACCTTGTCATTGGAGCCCCCGCCCATGATGCTCATTTCACATGCAGAGAAACAGAGTCTGGAATGAGACCCACCTGCCCACCACTTCAGACGACAGGTCCTGAGTCTTCCATCTGCCTTTGTGGCTCTGCCACCAGGCATGGCCTATTGCCTGCAGCCAACCAGGTCTTCCTGAAAGTAGGCTGCACCACGAGGCCAGCCTGGCACCCCCCATTACTGAATCCTACTTTTCTGGCAGCATAGTACCAGGTCCAAAAAGTGGACCTGCCCTCAGCAGAGTGGACATTATAGTGCTTATGCATGGTGCCCAAGGCCCCACATGGCCCTAAATGACCATTTAAGACAACAGCATTGACTGAGGGCCTGGCATTGGCCAGACCCTTTGGCATCTCTGGTCCCTGGCATCTCTGCCACCCACCTCTTCCAAGGAAAACATGGAGCCTTGCAGAGGCCTCTGTCTCAGAGGCCTCTCTGGCATAGAATGGTGGGGCTATGACTGGAACTTGGATCTGTGCAACTCTCTCCTGAGCCTGGGCTGTGTGGGATTTTTTGACTTGTGGACATGAGGTCATGGTGAGGAACAGAGGTCAGGTAGTGGATGGGCAGAAAGCTGAGAGGAGCTATGGCCCTCAGGGTTCCTCCATGGTGGTAGCAGCCTAGAAGAGGAGGCAGAAATTGAGCAGTATCTTAGTACCAAGGGCCTCCTGTCCCAGGAAAGGCCCTTGGGGTCTTTCTGCAAGGACCACAGGTTGGTGGCCAAGCCTGGTGATCTAGGGTCAGGGCAGCCAACTTCCCACAGGTCTTGGGCTGGGAAGTATCCAGCCTCCCAGCCTCAGCCTGGCAGGTCTGGGGTTAGGTCCCTCTGTAAGCTCCAAAGGGGCAGATCTAGCCCTGGCAGTGGAGGCTGCTGAGGGTCCCAGAAACCTCTGTTGCAAGGTTTGACCTGAGTCACTTCACAGGGATCAGGGAGGGGATGCTTGTGCAGGGAGAAGCTGAAGGCAGGGGCTGTGGAGGGCAGATGGGAGGAGGTAGGCACCTGGCAGCTTCACTGACTCAGTTTCCCCACCCTGAACTTCTAGACATCCTGACAGAGGATGACGTCTACTGCAGCTGCCTAGCAAAGACTCTCTGCCACGTGCCTGTCCCTGTGACTGTGGGTTTCTATGCCCCCTTTGGCTGCCGCCTGCACATGATGCTGGACAAGATCACTGGTGAGGACCTGTGTGTGTTGAAGGTTTAGGGGCGGGGGCGGGGGGCTTGGGGAGGAAGAGAAACAGCCTCCGGTCCCTACCCAGCTCCAGGCTTCCCTCACACCTCCTTGCCTTGAGGCCAGCCTGCTCCAGCCCAAGCACCCCCAACTTAGCAGTACGCAGGCCCCTCCTTGTGTCCACCTCTGCCCCTTGTTTCTGGACCACTGGCCTCCTGGCCACCAGTAAGTCTCACTTCCTTCCATTGTCCCACTACCCAAATCCACTCCAAGGAATTCTTCTGAAATATATATCTGGTCTGTCCTTCCCTTGCTCAGAGCCTTCCATGCTTCTCAGCACCCTAGGGAGAGAGCCCAGATTCCTCACTGAGGATGCAGGCTCCTACCACACCCTGATGGGCTCTGGTGCCCCTGAACACCCACTTCTTCTCAGCCCTGGTCCTGTGCTGGGCACTCATCAGTCACCTGACAGACAGGTGTTAATTGAAAACATGAGTTAAAAACCTCCCCTGCTGCTCTGACCTGGTTCACCCAGATGGAGCTCAGACCTTGGTTCTGAAGTATGGCTGTAGGGGTAGGGGCGACTGTCTTCCTCTGTTTGCCCAGCCCTGGTGGAGGCCAACAGCCTTTCGTTCCTGAGCACCTGCTAAACAAGTCCCTGTCCTGCCCCTGTGTTGCCACAGAGGAACGAACAGGCTCCTGGCAAGAGAAGAGATTAGGATATAAGGAAAAAGAGACAGCATTATGGGGGAGTCCTGCTCTGTGCTGGCTGACTTAGACACTCCCATTCACTCACTGTGCTCAGAGATGGATCCTGCCCTGATTTCTCATGCTCCGTTCTTCCCCCAGCATTCTCCCAGCACCTCCTGGGTGCCCAGGGGACACAGCAGTGACCAAGATGACCAGCACCCTGCCTCCTGGGGCTCACCATCCATACAGGGGTGACACAGTTGTCCTTAAGACAGTGACAACTGGGTGGCACCTGTGGCTCAAAAGGGTAGGGTGCCAGCCCCATATGACAGAGGTGGCAGGTTCAAACCCAGCCCTGGCCAAAAAACAAAAAAGACGGTGATGACCCAGAATGGGAAGAACTGAGGGCCCTTGAGGATCAGGAAGGGCTCCCTGGAGGAGGAGCAGTAAGCCCAGAAAATCAGAGCAAGGCTGTCTTGTGCTGCCTGGCATTCCTCTTGGCTTCACTTATCCCTAGACCCGCCCCACCTCTCTTAGAGCCTACCCTACTCTACCTCAGGCCTCTGGACCTGCCTCCTGCCCCTTGCCCATTCCTGGCTCTTCCTTGTGTCCCTTGTTGCCTCATCCCATCCTCTCTCTTCTGAAGACTCTACCCATTCTTGACCCCAAGCCTCATCCTTAGGTCACTTCCAGTCCAAGCCTGACTCCAGGCCTCTCTATGCTGCGCCTTATGCACCTGCTCCTAGCTCTTAAAAGGTGCAGGCAGGAGACCCGGCTGGGGCTCACCTTCTTAAGTTCCCTCCTAGTTCTCTGCTCAGTGCCAGGGATCTCTCCGGGAGCACCCCACCCCCTCCTCAGCTGTCCACGTTACTACCCCCCTCCCCGCCCCCACAGCGCTGATGCAGCAAGAGGCGGCGCAGCGCGAGACGGAGGAGCTGCAGCGCGTGCAGTGGAGGCCACGGCCAGTGAGCGGCTGGAGTGTCCCGCGGCTGCTGTGGTACCTGGTGTTCCTGCAGCCAATTATCACCGAGGTGCACCTGCGGCGCAAAAACGTGAAGTTTCTCTTCATCCGCTTCAGCGCCTGGCAGTATGCGGGCACCGACAAGCTGTGGGCCGGGCTGGTGACCACGTTGTGCGAGGGCATCCGCCACCACTACGGCGCTCTGCCTTTCAGCGTGTACTCGGTGATGGGCAATAAGCCGGTCCCCACACAGGGCTGCTGCCAGCGTGAGTGGCACTGCCGGCGCCGCGTGTGCCTGGGGCTGTTGGGGCTGCTGGTGGCGCTCGCTCTAGGTGTGGGCCTGCTCTACCTGTCCCTGGGCGGCCACGCGCCGGGCCACGGGGGCGCAAGCGGCAGCCTGCTCAAGGTGTTTGGAGGAGCGGCAACCACACTTTCGGGATCAGGGCTGCTCATGGCCGTGTACTCGGTGTGCAAGCACCTGTTCGTAAGCCAGCGTAAGAAGATTGAGCGTCTGGTGTCACGCGAGAAGTTTGGCAGTCAGCTGGGCTTCATGTGCGAGGTGAAGAAGGAGGTGGAGCTGCTCACCGACTTCCTGTGCTTCCTGGAGATCTACCAGCGCCGCCGCCTGCGCGTGGTCCTGGAGGTCACGGGGCTGGATACGTGCTACCCGGAGCGCGTGGTAGGTGTCCTCAATGCCATCAACACCCTGCTGTCCGACAGCCATGCACCCTTTATCTTCATCCTGGTGGTAGACCCCAGCATCTTGGCTGCGTGCCTTGAGAACGCTGGCAACATGAAGGGGACGGCGGACAATGGCTACCTCTTCCTTAACCGCACCGTCACGCTGCCCTTCTCCGTGCCGGTCATGGGCCGCCGCACAAAACTGCAGTTCCTGCACGATGCTGTGCAGAGCCGCGACGACCTGCTGTACCGCGAGATCACGGGAAAGCTGTTGTCGCCGGCTAGCGAGGGTGTGGGGGGCGAGGGCGCGCAACTGCTGGCGGTGAAAACACAGACGGGGACCACATCCACGCCGCAGGGCCACATCGACGCTGAGGCGGGGCGACGCATCCAGGAAGCACTCTTTTGTCTGCACGACGAGCGCGACTGCCTGTACGAGTACGTGCCCGACAACGTGGTGTCCATGAGGCGCATCGTCAACACCGTGCCCATCACCGTGCGCCTACTACAGCAGCAGCAGGGTGACTTAGAGGGCCCCACGCCGCGCCAGGCCGTGGCTTGGGTTGTGCTCGCTAACCAGTGGCCGTGCCGCCTTAGCTGGACGCTGCAGTGCCTGGAGGACAGGCAGCAGGCCGGGGGCGCGCCCGAGGGCCGCATGCGCCTCTGGGACGTGTTCTGCGACAACAGCAGCGAGCTACACACCATGACCAAGGCATTGCAGAATGTGCTCGATCTGGACGGCGACCCCGAGCTTTTCCAGCGCTTCCTGGGAGCTGACTTCCCCTTCACTGTGGCTGAGGCGCAGAGCCTGCTGAGCTGCACCGTCAACCTGGACCACTCTATCCGCCGCCGCATGGGCCTCATTCGAGCCGTCAGCGCGCTCAAGCCGCAAAGCCCGCCTAAGTCTCCAGCCCACAACACCCCCCACGCTGCCAACGGAGCCGCTGGGGGAGCCTCCCGGGCAACCTGGCCAGGCCATGCTGCAGGACATGCCTGCGAAGTTCACCAACCCCGGGACAGGGCCCGTGGGGGGAAGCCAAAGCCAGCGGCCTGAGCGCACTTCAATCCAGAAAATCCAGGCTGGGTGGGCCTGGAATGTGGGACTTCACCTGCCCACACGAGGGAGGAAGGGGCCAGACTGGGCCTACGATCCATCCAGGGTCCGAATGAGGGCTGAACCTGTGAACTAGAGGAAGCCATGGGCGGTAGCCCTAGAAATAGGGCAGTATGTGGTGCCATGTCTGGGAACAGGCACTAACCAGCAAGGAGCTCAGGGTTCAAGTGCAGTAAATGAAGGAGTAGAAAGCCCTGGTTTATCTTTATGTCCTGGGTTTCCTTGACTTAGTGGGGTCTAGGGATTACATCTGCCCTCTCCTGCAGCCCACTTCCTTCTTAGGGAGCCAGAACTGAGCTGTGCTGGCTGCCTCAGCCGCCATCCTCATGGCAGGTGGGGCCATGGGGGTGGTGGGCGAGGCCTCAGAGGCAGAGGATATGAAGGGTGGAAAGGCCAGGTTGACTCAGGCAACAGGGAGCACCCAGTCCTCAGGGGATCCTGGTCCTAGTCCTCACGCCCTAGCCTGCCCCTCTGTGAACAGGGAAGGAGCTGGCATTTCCAAGGGTGGTGTCCCTGGTGGCCTCAATAGACTGCTATGTGCCTCAGGGTGGCTCTGCCCTCAGCATAATGGATTAATTAGGCATCATTGGCACCTTAACCAGTTGGGGTGGGTGGCATTGCCTCCCCCAGACAAGTAACCGTCTACAAGGTACCTGCTTTTTGGGTTACTCCAGGCCTACCTAAGGACCACTGTTTGGTCACTGAGACTGAAACCCCCAGTCAGCCTCTTGGTGAAGACAGGGAAGCTGAGCAGAGAGGAGGCACTTGGGGGACACATAGGGTCTGAGGCCAGAGCCAGGCAGAAGGGGTCTTAACTAGGGCTGGAGCTGGACTTGCCTATGTGATTTATCACCTTCCCTGTCCCACACTGGGACAGAGACCTCGGATGGGGGTGTTGTACCTTGGTGTTGCACAATTCCCCACTGGTCAAATATTTAGGAACATAGGCTTGTGGGGTGCATGGATCCAGTGTGTGGGGGCACAGGCAAAGGTGGCAGGGACTGAACATACCTGGGACTAGAGGTCAAGGGTGTGACTTCTAAGGGCCCTGAGGGCAGATGGGATAATCTTGGAAGGACCCAAGAGCTCTGAAAAGGCACCCACCTTCAGGCCATGGGGCTCTGGGGCCATGGGCCTCACATTTCTTAGCTCCAAAGCTAGGCACAGCATCCATGTGTGGCCAAAACCAGCATTCAGCTCTCCTGGCCAATAATTATGTTGCAAGTAGACGTAAGTCAGTGGGAGCCCCCTGTGATTTTCCCTGGAATTGTCGGGGCAGATGCATTGGTTTTCACCCTTGGCATGGCTAAACAGGGGTGATAAGCCTGGACCTACTCAAAGATGTTTCCTAACAGTTGGGGAGAGCTGCCCAAGAATGAAGCCACTAGAGGGAGAGATGTGGGGTCTCATGACACTGGTCAGTGTCTCTGCAAATGTGCTGTTGGGGCCAATATATTTCCCTTCCCTTTTGCCTCCCTTAAGCCAGTTTTGCTTGGGTTTATTTCTTACCACCTACAAGCTAGGCTGAAAATAAATTTTTACTCCTGGTACCAGGAGTGGGGTACTATAAGAGACAGACACTAATGCATAGACTTGGCTGAAGGGGAGGACTTAGGATCCCCAAGTCCCAGTAAGAAGTTGCAGCTCCTGCCATGTGGTATGTATATAAGCAGCAGTCAAATTGTTGCTCATTTTATATTAAGACTGATCATGGCCAGGCCTGTCAATGCTATAATCCCAGCACTTTGGGAAACTGGGGCAGAAGGATGGCTTGCTTGAGCCCAGAAGTTCAAGGTTACCATGAGCTATGACTCTGACCATGTGCCTCTTAAAACTAGAGTTTTGGGAGAGTGTGCAAACAAAAACAGCAAGTCAGAGTAGCTGCGATGGCTGGGACAGCATGCTGCCCACCGTGGTGCATGCTTTCCTCTCAGGTGTGGAGCTTTTCTGGGAAACTGTCCCTAGGTAGGTGGCCCAGGCCTTTCTCATCAGCTGGCTCTCTCATTCTAAAGGGAGAAACAGATCTCTGAGAGACGCTCTTCAGTGCCCCACTGCAACCAGGCCTGTGCTGGGGAAGGGAAATAGGCTACCCAGACAGGCTCCTAGGGCTGGAGGGGACAGGCTGGGATCTGCTCTCCTTGAGCCATGGCAAAACAAAGACTTCTGACCCTGTATGCCGCATCCAGCACCCTGACAACCCAGACCCAAAGCTGCAAACTACTTGGGGCTGATCTCTTCCTGAAGAAAGGGTGGGTGTTAACAGGGCTGTCTGTGGCCTAACGGGTGAGACCCCAGACGCACAGGAGGCTGGGGGTGGGGTGAAGCAGCTCCACGTGCCCAGCCACCTGCCTGGGGGCACCCAGGATCAGTACAAAGCAGAGAACAGACAGGTGGTGAACCCAGCCCTGGTTTATTAGAAAAGGTGTGAACAGAGTTGCACCGACAGGATGGGCCCACCCTAGTCCTCTGCCCACCCACCCCCACCCCCACACTCCCACCCACCCTCAGGTTGTAGTGCCTCTCAGGACGTAGCCTCAAATGGCCTGAGCAGCAGGGTCCCCAGAACCCCAGTTGCTGTCCGCCCCAGCTCCCTGATAGATTTATTGCACTTAAGAAAAAGAAAGCTCTGATCCTCTGCTCCCACCCCCCACCCCACCATACCCCACCCCCGGCCCTCACCCTGTCTGGGGCTGTTCTATGGATTCCAACCACCACCATCACTCACCGGCCCTCCCATGCCATGTTGCCTGCCTGGTTCTGTGCCCAGGGCCACAGGAGGACCATCCCACCACCATCCAGGACTTCTGCCCTCAACAGGGCAAGCCTGGCTGACCAGGCCCCTCCAGAACAGGAGCCTGGTCTTGTGGCCTGATGGCCTTGGAGACCTCCTCTTCCTCCTCTCTCCCCCCAGCCCAGAGTCTTCGAGGGGAGGACACATAAATAGAAGTGCTCAAGTCAGGGTGGGGAGGGCCACTCCCTGTAGCTCCTGCACCCCTTGTAGTGTTGCTGTGGGAAGGGGGTCCCGGGCCTCAGGTAGGCTGGGGGTGAAGGTGAGCAGACTCTCATGGCTCTGGCCTCAGCTCATCGAAGACCGATCAGAAAGAAGGAACTTGGGGAGAAGAGATTGCGGGAGGGACTGTCAGAGCCAGGGGGTCTCCCAGATCCCTCCCTAGTTCTCTGGGTCCCCTAGCCCCCCACCTCACCTAAAGTGTCACAGTGTCTCTTGCCCAGATTCCTGACTGGCTTCCAGAAGCAGCTCCTCGAGCTCCTTCTCGTTCTTGGAGCAGCTCAGTTCTGTGGGGGAGGATGGGCCAGCGACCTCTAGTCAGGCGGCTGGGATGAGAGTGCAGACACCAACCCGGCCCACCAGCCCTGCCCAAGCCAGACCTTTAGGCCAGCAGAGGGCCCAGGTGCCACTAAGACTGTCAGACTCAAGGCAATACACCTTACATGCCCCACCTTGGGGAGAGCTCCCAGGACCCAAGGGAAGAAGGGTGGGACCAAAGGCCAACCCCACTTACTTGTCCCTGCCCCTCAAGGACCACTGTAAAGAGGGGGAAACCGAGGCCCACCAATGGGCAGGTGCTTGCCTTGGGTCACCCATGGCACCTAGGGCCCCCTTGTCACCCTGCCCCAGAGCCCCTCACCGTGTTCCAGGCCGCAGCTGCCCCCCTTGGCCTCAGGCCCTGGGGGAGGCTCTGGGGGCAGTGCGAGGGCAAACTCGGGCTTCAGGCCATTGGGCAGTAGTGGCCCTGACTGAGGCGGCTCCGGCTGTGGCTGAGGCTCAGATGACCCTGGGTCCTGGGTGCCAATGGCCCCAGCTGGTGGTAGAGCAGGTGAGGCAGGTAGGGAGGTCAAGGCAGGTGGGGAGTAAGGGATGGGGCACACAGGGAGGTCTGCCCTTTCTGGTGGACTCTCCACCCGGGTCACCACAAACACCTTGTGGCCCCGGCCTGGGCTGGACACAGAAATGCGCTGCTCAGTGGGGGAGCAGGGGCTGCCTGGGGGGCTCCTGTCCCCAGGGCCCAGGGAGTCCGTGGGAGGCACCAGGGCAGGGCAGGGGGCTGAAGGACTCTGGTTGCCATTGGCCTTATCCTTTTTCCCATCCTCTTCCTCCTCATCCTCCCCATCAGAGTCTGAGTCTGAGTCTGAATCTGGGCTGGGCCCAGGACTTGGGGCCCCGTTCTGTGCCCCGGCAATGGGCTCATCCATGGGCTCCTGGTGGCTGGGCTCCTCGTCAGGCTGGGGCTCAGTGATGGTGATCTCAGGCATGGAGGCTGATAGCTGCAGCCGTTGCTCCTTTTCCTCCCGCTCCCGTGCCAGCACAAAGTTGCGCTTGCAGCCGTTCTGGATCTCTGCCAGCAGTGCCTTCTGCGTCTCAATGAAGCTCTTCACCTACGAGTGGGCAGGTCTGGCTTGCCGCCATTCTGGGTCTCAGGGCTGCCCTGCTGCACCCCACCCTAACCTGCCTGCCTGCCTGTTACCCAGGGCCCGGAGGAGAGCCCCTGCTCACCGCCTCCTTCTTGGGCTCACGGTCGATGTCCAGGCGCAGCAGTGAGTGGTTCACCTTGAGGGCCAATGACAGTGCCATGAGCCCGCCTGTCTTGATCTCATTCTCCCGAAGATCCAGTCTCAGGAGGCGGGGGCTCTCGGCGATGAACTCTGCCACCGCCACCGCGCCTGCGGGGGGTACCGCAGGGGCTGGCCACGGGCCCCACGCCCGGCTGGCCACCCCACTGAGGCCACCGGCCTGCTCCCTGGCCCCATGCCCTACCCTCGCACGTGAGCTTGGTGGAGGCCAGGCCGAGGCGTAGCACACTGCGGTTGCCGATGAGCCCATTCTTGAGGTTGCGTACACCCTCATTCCCAATGGGGTTGTAGCCCAGGTTCAGCGTCTCCAGGCTCTGTGTGTGCGGCTAGAGGGATGGGTGTGAGGATGAGGGGGTGACTCAGTGGTAGAGGAAGGGCCCAGGAGGACAAGTCAGGAAAGAAGCTGGTAAAAGAACCAAATGTGTGCTCTTTCCTCAGCAGCGCTGGCCCTACTGCAGGCCTAGAAGGGTGGAATCCCTTGGATATTTCAGGTCTCCCCAGGGCCAGGGCCCCTGTGCACTCCCACCCTGCCATGAGCCCAGCCAGGCCCCATCCCCCAAAGCCTGGGCTCCCTGCCCCTGTTAGGGCCTCTCAGCTCCACACTTAGGTTCATCCTAG